CACACACAAACGGTGGAAAACTAAATAATTAACAAGGTTTCTTAACTTTACTCACTTATAATAAACGATAAAACTGGTTTTTATGACATAAAATAGAGCACAAACCGTTTGTTGAAATGCTAACTGCTAACTATGTAAACAGTGTTGCTATGGTAACTGACACAGCTCATGGTGGAAAAAATAAGTAATTCATGAGGTTTTATAACTTTACTCACTTTTAATAAGTCATAATACTGGTTCATATAACTTAATATAGACCTAAAACAGTTTGTTGAAAAGCTACCAAATGCTAACAGCTGAATGCTAACAGTGTGTTGCTATGGTAACTGACACATCCCTGAACCAGGACCAGTCCAGGACCAGCACGATAATTGTTGATTTTAATTTTTGGGAGTATAAAGCTCACCGCACACCGAAACGCAGCGCCTCGCGGCGCGTCATTTGACGCGCGTTCATGACATGTGTCAAATTACACCGGAACGCCTTGGCTAGCGTCCTTTTCCAGCTGATCGCAGATGAAATGGGTGAGTGACGTTTGGAAGTTTCTACTAATATTTTGGGGGAGGAAACAAAGTATTTACGTGAAATTATGCTGGCAAATATTACAAGAAAAGACTATTTGGACCCATTTTTTAAACAGGCTAATAACTAGCTCTGGGTAACGCTGTACTTGGGTTATCAAGCTTTCCTCGTCCATTGTGACCGGTTTACTTGAGCAATAGCGCCGACAAGTGTGTAAATTTGAGACCGCGCTCACAGCTACGTGATAAGAAGCGCAGAAGAAGAAAACTACGGGTGCTTGGAGGGACAGTTTCAGCCGCGGCGCCGCGTCTGGATTCAACAAAACTGAATCGTGGCGCCCGGTCCAGCGTCGCCGCGCGTCACTGCAACCTTGGTGTGCGTTCTCTCATAGAAAATAAAGGAGGCGGCTCTTTTGCCGCGCGTCAAGGCGTTTCGGTGTGCGTTGGGCTTAAGACACTGAAGAAGAACTAAGAACATAGAAAAAAACTACATATAGAAACAGAAATGCATGTTTTTTTCATTCAGTCATTCTTTTTGCAATAGAAAAAGCTGTAATCTGTTAGTTTGAAATCATATCTCTGTGTCTGTTATACGGCAGGAAAATCTCATTAGAAACCGGAATCTATTTGTTTGAAGTGGTGCCTAGCTACTGCATAAACATCAGCAAAACAACAGGAAAAGAAGTTAACGAGAAAGTTTCACCGTTTTAAGTGATCTCAGAATGAAACAAAAAATATGTTTATTTGACTATTTATGATTTTATGTGCATTTTTACTGTATCTGCTACTGATGGTCACCTGAATGTCCACTTATGGTATAAACAAAGAAGCAATCACCCAAATGGTATTTCATTAGCCATTAGTTTTTTTTTTTTACAAAGCCAGATATATTTTAGTGCGGTAAAAATACAATACAATACAATTTATTCTTGTATAGCCCTAGGTCACAACAGAAGTCATCTCAGAGGACTTAACAAAACCATTGAAATCACCAACACAGGTCAGAGAATCAACAGTTAACACATGAAGAATATAAAGCACACACAGAAGAAAATGTCCATACATGTTGTAGAATGTATACAGTTAAAATACAGTGTAACCCCTTCTTAAATACATTCTTTACATTTACTGCCACGTCCCCAACCCAGAAATGGATTAAGGGGAAGAAAATGGATGAATGGATGGACATTTTACTGCCAAAAATATTTGTTTTAAAGATTATAACTCAAGGAATACACGTTTTTCTCAACAGGGGAAACAATTCTTCCACAACTTAGATTTTTCATTTCATTATGTGTCTCACTGTAACTATGAATAGTGATATTTGAACTTTTATCTAGTATTTTACCAACACTTTGATATTCTAATCTTTGAAGAAGAGTTAAATTCTTTATTCTCAATGCAAATGCAGTGAACAGTAGCCCTCACAGTCGTCCGTGTCCAGCTTTAGGCTTTTGGCTTCAGAGCTGTGTGTACAGAACAAACAGTCGCCCGGGTCGTGTGGGTCTTTAAGATCAAGGGCGGATAAAAAGGAAAAGGAGAATTTTAAGCCATTAGAGAGAGAAGTGAGTCAGGGACCAGGAATATGACCTTTTCTCTTTGAGTGAAAGTTCAACAATATACAAATTATTGTCATACCAGTGTCTTTGTTTTAGAATCAGAATATTAATAAAGATTATTTATGTATTTATCCATGCCATCGGATTACAAGCATTATATATATTGTCTATACATTTGTGCAGCATAAAAACACAAAAAAGAATAAAATAAAATCTGAATATTATTTGTTTATTCCCAGATTTCCTAGTCCAACCTAATATACTGCACTCTGAATTTTATCACATTATTATCTAAGTCTAAGTATTGAGAGATACTATTAGGGCTGTAATAAACAACTATTTGGATAATCGTTTAGTTGTTTGGGTCCTGAAAGGTCAAGGCATGCGGGATTTCTTATACTTTGACCAACTTGACAAAAACGCTCAGTGTTTGGATTAAAAATACTTTGTAAAAACAACCTAAATTCCTTCTCCAGCCATTTTAGAATAATCTGTGTCATAAAACCTCTTCTCAGCATGTTTAAATAGCGATTAATCAAGTTAGTTGACTATTTAATGAATCAATTAGTTGCGATAAATTGAACTGAACTTGTCCTAAATACTGTTTGCAGAAAGACCAGAAACGTACAGTAGATGTAATGGATGACTAGTGAACACATTAACTGAACAAGAACTTAAAATTCAGTCTAAATCATAGTGATATTTGACTCATGCTTTGTGGCCTGAATAAACAGGGTTACAAAACGGTTGCTCTAAAACGTTTGCACCATTATTTATGGCATATAAACAAATTTCTTGGCTTCCCTCAAAATGGAATGACCTGGCACGAACATAAAGGACAAGAACATAGGAGCAAACCAGAACCAGTAGTTACAACTATGTAAAAAACTGTGATTCAACAAATATTCATGTTTTTAGATCCAAAAAACTAACAATAATAAAGTGGAAAAAGAAAAAAGTTCTTGAAGTTGATATGGTTGTGCTTAATTTCACTGCACTTGAAATAGGACAAGGATAAAACATTATTTTGAGAACTATAGATGAAATCAATGTATTTTAATTTTGTCTTCTACAATGATCACAAATACCCATTTTTCAGCTTGTATGATTATATTGCAGCCTGTGTAATCACAATTATCGGTTATCATAATAATCTTAAGCCCCCTAGTTACAGCCCAAGAATAAAAGAATTACATTTAGGGTTAACCAGGCTTGTGCTGGACAAAAGCCAAAAACTTTCTTGTATGTTGTAATTTATGCCTGCAGAGAAACTACAGCTCCAAACTATCTGTAATCTGGAATATTAACATTTGGGTTTTTTTTGTTATGTTCATGATAAATCAATAAAAACAGCCCCAGCCGAATGGAACTCCCCCATGTGACGCTTCATTAACCCATCTGACCCTTGCTGCTCGCGACACTTTTAACTCTTTAGTGCCAAATGAGGAGAAAGTCACAAACGACAGGTGGGAACTCTTAACCTCGGCTGCTCTCTCCCCCAGACCGCGTGCCGATCATTCCCTTCTACGTCTGAAAACCACCATTGATTTATACTGTAGATTCAAACTGAAAGCATTCAAAGTGCCTGTAAGCTATTAGGTTTGTGTGCAAGTCAATCATAATCATAAAGTAACCCTCATAAAACAATGAATTAGTCATGGGTAAGTAGATTATTACATTGTATTGTACAGGAGAAGCTAATAGTTTCTTTTACCTGGAGTAGACATATCTTTTTCTCAACTATAATCCTTATGTATTCTAGCACACGTACCTAAACTTGAATAGTATTTGCAAAAACAGATACGTACCAATAGAAGAATATTTGCTCTTTACCAAGTAGTATTTTGACAAGCCAGAGCTATCTTTGTTCCATACTAATAAAGTTCTTAAGCAAATATTCTCAAATGCACTGCCATGTTGAGGATTGTAGCGAGAGGAATACATACAAGTTTTTGACGCATTTCCAAAACTTGCCATATTGGTCTCTCAATGTGCCATGACACTTTAGCACGCACTGAGGACAGTCAGACGGTATAAACATATACAAGAGTATTTAAAATCTCCCCACTGAGGGCGAATAAAGGTTTATCTAATCTTGTCTTCATAATAAGATTTTAAAATGCTGTAGTATAAACAGCAACAGGTGGAACTATATAACAAGATGGAAACAATCACTCAAGGCATTAAAACCATGTATAACCACAGTGCATTAAAAGAGTGAAGATTCAATGCTTCAGTAGCTAAATAGAACTGTTTTTTTTTTTAACCTGGCTTTGAACATTTTCAGAGAAGATGCATGTCTCAAATTTTTAGGAGGACTGTTCCAGATTTTAACTGCATGAATCTGCCTCCCCATGTATATTCCTGTATCTCTGTCTTCATTCGGTTCAGCACAGCACCAGGGTTTAAGATAAGATAAGATAAACTTTATTGATCTCACAAAGGAGAAATTTACATGTCATATACGGCATGATGTTATGGGTCATCATCTGTCACAGCTTTAGACAGAAATGAGAAAACCACATCAGCCAATCAGCCAAAAGCGTCAAAAAGTTTGCAAAAGATGAGCTGTTTTCTACATACTAGCAGTTTCTCTACTGCAAGTTGTGGCATAGTTTCTACAAAAGATTATGCTTGCACCAGGCCCCATCTGTGGCACTAAGCAAAATGTATTCATGAAACAAAAACAAAAAGGTAGATTATGATCCGTATAAACATGAAAATTGCCAAAACAGATCTTTCAAACTTGTGCACGTTTGCTTCATTTGCCTCAACCAATAGTCTTAATGCAATAATTAAAATCTAAATACGTTTTAACCCCAAAAATATTTCAGCTCCATCTTTACAGTAGCAGTAGCTTGTTGCTTATTCAGGGCGCGCTGGGAAACGCTCCGCTATAAAAAGTAAAAATCACACTTACTATTTCTCCAGCGAGGATGAATCCTTTCTGCGTCTTCACATAACTTTTAAACTTCTCCACACAGGTCGCCCCGGTGCTCGCCGTCGCATCAGCCATAATGTATGTTTTATATATGTATAATGTGATCTACAGCTACTTATATCCGCTATGTATAAGGAGGCGCTTGCATTCACAAACTGCTCTTGAACGTGTCTTTGAAGTGTGGTTCTGGTTAGCTTAAGCGTCGGGCAGATTCTTCTTGCTTGTCCGTGTAAATGACGCCAAAACAGTCCCGCTAAACTGCCTCTGCTGGAGTAGTGAAGCTGCACAAGTGTGTGGAAGTGTGGGAAGAGCCGCGGAGCTGGCGATGGGGCGTTGGCTTTCACTTTTCTCTGGGGGTTTGTTGGCAAGTCTTTGGCACCAGTGTGGGAGAACCGTGCTGCGTTCAAGTGCCGCTCGAATCAAAATGCACGCAACGTTAAACCTGTGGCTAGTGTATACAGTCTATGGTAGTAACAAACGGTGTAAAAAAAAAAATAATAATAATAATAATAACAAAAAAATACTTGTTCAATGTGGCGCCTTTTCGTGTGGATTGTATTTTAGTTGTCGTTGATGCTGTATAAAAAAAGTAAAATAAAATAAATACAGCGGAAAGGGAAGGGGTTTTTCTGGTTCAACCAAAACGACTACTTTTGATGGTGGCAGTGAAAGTTTAGCGGTTTAATGACTAACACGAGGACTCCCAGGGTTCTGAAACCACTAGAACTTCCAGGGCAGTCAGATTGACGGCTCCCATTCAAATTAATGTCAGTTTTTGTTGATTCTAATTAAGTATTTTATTGGGTTTTTTTCCTTTTACAAGCACTCAAATGAGTAAATATGACTTGATATAAGCGCTTTTCTGGTTGAAAAACAATCTCAGCTCAGAACCAGAATCCAAAACTTCATACATTTGAATAATACATTAATGTGATGATAATTTTCTGATTGATAATCACCAGAGTATAAGCCCATTGTTATTGTAATTAAGAATCAGCATCAACAGTTTGATCACAAAAAGACAATAATGCGTTGTCCTTGTTCACAGTGTTTCTGGGTGCACAGATAAATAACCTTACAATCAAAATTCTTTTATTCAACACATTTATTTTTGATATATTTTTGAAGTTTTGAGATGCAAGATATTCCTGTACTCAAGTCAATTATCCAATAAGAATTTCTCATTGGGTTTTCAGAAAGTAGAAGAGCATATTTAGCTATTTGTTTGGACTACTGTATGTTTACCATAGCGTCTTACACAGTCCTTCATATATACTCAGATTAATTTGCAACAAGAGGCCACTAGAGGGCCCTAAAGGTATTCTCAATAAATATGTAAGGCAGTGTTTTTTAACCATGGATCGATAATAATAACCTCTGTGCGTGGGACGTTAGTAGACAATAAGAAAAAAAATAAACATTCTCAACATAATAATTTCAAATTTTATTCAATTTAGTTACACATGGATTCAATATAATAATACAGCAGGTTTCTGGAGAGTCTGGGATATTTTTTTCCTGACTTAATCATTATCATAAATACTAATACATTACAATAAACACAGCACTATCCAAAGCCGTAGAGTATCACAAGACGTCATTCACCACTACGAATAGAGTATACTTCATTTGAGCATATGTATTAAGAGCTACAGTGAAATAGAGAAAAATCAGAAGAGGGGACGAGAGAGTGTGCCAGTGCATGAATTCAAGAAACCCTTATTTATATTAAAAAAGATCGCAATAATAAAAATAAAGCATGTCTTATCCAGGCTGCATAACAGAGCAATCCAGTGTAGATATATATTTGTACTGATGGAGCAATGAAAGCATGTTGCCAACATGTCGCCAGCTGTATTTGGCGAAAGTCCATGGGAAAATAATGTGGTTTAAAGTAACGTTTTGAGCACTGTGCTTTACAGATTGTTATATAGAGCAAAGCTGTTGTTGAAAATGCTCTTACTACAATGACCATTCACAATATTGAGATTAAAAATGTGTTGTTTGAAGCTTGCAGCATCAGCCTCTCAATTTGTACAAAGATGCTTACGGATAGAAATAGTCAAATGCATGCAATAAATCGAGTTGCCTTGAGGAATAGAGGAGACAAGGGCTTAAGATGCAGAAGAATATGGAGATACATTACCAATAAGATCTTGAAAACATTGTAAGTAGCAGAAGTCGTTGCCCAAAATATGTGTTGAATCCCTCTGATTTATCTATAGCTTATGTGAATGCAGATATGTCACTACAGAGTGGTAGAAACACCATTTAAAAAACTATATGACTCTTTCATACTACTTCCTGGATCACATAAAAGGCGATCAAAACAAGACAAGTTTCATTCACAAAACGGACACAGTTCTGTTACACAAATCCAAACGTAAAACGCTGTGGTTCGGAGTCCTGGCTCACGCTTCACTGATGTCACAGCAGTAAACGGGGAAGGCTACCATGCTCACTAAATACAGGACTTACACACATGGTTTGCAGGTCAGGAAGTCACATGGATAAAGCCTTGGTACAAAAACTAAACAAAAACAAATGCTTCATCTTTTACACAACCCACAAAAAATTATGACTTGTTTTTTCATAAATAGATCAGTGTGTTTCCCTTTCAACAATTCTCAACACAGTTTCATCAATCACTTTTTCACTTCCCCGTCAAGTCACTTTCCATGTTCGAATAAAAAAATATGACAGAATGAAATAGACGTCCATAGAGCAGTGTTTTGGCGAGATGACTGGCATAAACTAATCTAAGTGAGCTCCTAAACAGAACCAAAGTAAAGGTATTGAATAACCCTGTGCTCAACATTTGTTGTATAACAACTGATATGAGGTGCACAATTATTCAACTGAGTACATATAATCATATATATATAATATCAGCATGTTTATATTTACACAGCACAGACAATACATTCTCTCAAGTTAAATATTACTACAGCTTTTTTCCATAAATGTCTTTTCCAATACAAGATTCTCTTAAATGTTCATGAACTAATGTTTTGGTATTGTATTCAAGTTTTTCTCATAAAACCAAACAGACAATCCTCTGTTGTCTTCTACAGTTAAATACATCACAAGAATAAACATCATGATACAGTACAGACCCACGTACCCTTGACCCGAATCCTGCTCCCTCCCCTGCAGGGCCCTCCCGGCTGTCCCCTCACAGACACACACAGACACAGAGGAGTGCGGACACCACCACACTCTGTCATCAGAACAACCTGTGGAGACAAGAGCAGGACGTGAGGAGTGCACCACAGCAGTGTGTTCTGTGGACAAGGAGCGCTCTGTCTCCACTGCTCCTGAGACAATTCATATTACAATAATAGAATATTCTTTTTTAAGTAAATCTTTTACAACTACACGAGGATACAAGGCGAATGAAGGGAAGTGCCACATGTGCCTTTTTGCAACAAGTAATGTCTGGGCGGAGGCGGGAGTGTATGTGCCCCCTCCTCTAATGAACACCTATAACTGTTATGTACCCAGAGGCTGAGGTGAAGGATGAGCAAGAGAGCACTAAAGTTTTCTCATGTGGTTGCATTTTATTTTACCTTTTACTGAAATGACACAGGAGTGGTATATTCTGTCTGGCGACAGCAGTGAAGATGGATGGAAAAATGACTTTTTCTGCTTTTTCTATATTTTAAGAGCTGTCATCATTTGCGAGATGCCTGGTGCAGTCTGGCTGGTCTCTTTGGTTGTTGAAAGTTGAAGTGACAGTTGCAAGTACAGTCTGTATCCACCAGCCCAACAATCAGTCAAACAATCACACTGACCCCATGAACTTGGGGAGTGCCACAATAAAGTATCACTGACGAATGAAGCTACTTGAACTAGTGTTATATCAGCTTTTATTCCAGGTCAAATGTAGGCCAGCCTAGAGTATATTCTTTGAGACACACCAGTAAACACATGCCACAGTATTAATGTAATAATGTCTTAGTAAAGTAGTTTAGAAAGGTACAGTACTCACGCCCTGTAGCTGCTGCAGCTGGACTGGTTTACATTTGATTGGAGAAGGAAGTGGGCTGCTGCTGCTGCTGCTGCTCGTAGCCCTGGTTGTAGCCGCCTTCCTCGCTGTAGCCTTGTTGGCCGTATTCGGGCTGGTATCCGCCCTGTGAGCCGGCGTAGGGGTCCTGCTGTGCATAGCCCCCCTGGCCAAAGGAGTCCGGGGCAGGCTGCTTCTCTTGTGAGGGCATGTATGTTCCAGAGAAGGCTGCCATCCAGCCGGTCTCTTTGAAGACAAACCACAGGTTTCCAATCCACAGGATCACGTTGATGAATCCAAAAGCCTGAGAGCAGAGTGGACAGTCATTACTTTGTAAATTACTGTCAAACATCAGAGCCACAGACAGTGAGCACGTACCACTGAGGTGTTGAGGCCGGACACCTTGGGCTCATAAATCTCCCGGCAGCGGACCGTCTGCTCGTCACAGGCTGCGATCAGAGTGACCACTCTGTCTGGGTCAGTGGCTGTTTTCACATCAGACAAACCTTTGGCCCAAGCACAGGAAGACACTAGCCACATGAAGGAAAAGACTGCAGTGACCACGAAGTCCTGAGGGCACAGAGCTCATGGTAACACCAATAATAATAATCATAGTGTTATTAGTGCATTAGTACATACAATCTGGGCTCCTTTGTTGTTCTCTTTGTACTTTTCTAGAATGAAGCAGTACACAGAGAGCGCTCCCATTGAGTACAGGAAGGCGAAAACAGCAATGGTGACAAAGAACTCAGCTGACGAGGAGTAGTCTCCCACCAGGAACAGGCGCTCAGAGGTGCCTCCCTTACAGGTGGGGGCGTCAAAGTACACCTGATGGAGCCTGGGCCAAAGAGAGCGTGTGAGCAACACTGTACAAGACATGATCATGAAAACACCGGTGAATACTGACCTAAAGGGGTATTCAAACTGTACTTCTATTCCCAGGTCACTTTCCGACCGGTTTTCACACTCCACGCTCATCTTGAACATACCGGAATAACTGCCACATGTGGAGAAGGCCATAATTGCAAAGACCTGCAAGACAGTCACAGAAGATTTCATAACTGAGTGGACATAAACAGACATTGAGTTTTGGATCATTTTTTACAAGAATGCTGATACATTGCTCCAGGTTTGAAGCCTAAGGAGTTATTCATTGAGCTCATAACTTTTATAACAAGTAAATTAGGGTACGTTTGAAATGTTTTTGGTATTGTGTATTTGATCATTATACTCTGTCCTGATTAAGACATCTTCTAAACTATAGTTCATACTTTCTCTATTTGTTAAAATTGGGCTAAAACTAGTATGAAAACAAAATAGAGTGAGTCGAACATAATTCCATCTAGCAACAAAAATAATAATGCATAGGTTTTATTTTGTGCTTTTTTGAACACTCCATACATAGTGGTGATAAACTAGTGACGCTATAGCTGCCCTGGGGCACACTGACAGAAGCAAGGCAACCAGTATGTGCCTTCAGCCCCTCATACCACCAGCAATCATTCTCACACACACCAGACTCATCGTTCTTGTTCCTGGTTTCTACCTAACTTCTGTTTTTATGTATCCTGGTCTTGAAGTTTTGCATTTACTTTTATTAAATTACTAATTATTTGCAGCTGTGCAATTTTTTGAGTCCCTTCATTTTAAATCGGGACAAAAACCATGCCATCATATCTGTTCTTTAAGCAAATTCTACAAAGTGACCTTGACCTGTTCTTCCTATACGTCTCCAATCCTTATTCCTTGGCACTGCTCTAATCTAAACTATAGCACATAACATAATGAGAGTACAAATAATGTCACACTCTCGCACACTCTGCAGATTAGACTATTTTTACCACACCCTCCTCCCCGCGCTCTAGATCCGATTGGACGGGAAATCCACCTATTAATCTGAGCGAGGTGCAGCACCATCTGTCACAGCCGTCCCAGGCCACAAACTCCCGGTAAAGCCCTGGACACGGCCCCACACGTGAGCACCTTTAAATCCCAGCACAGATCCAACTACACATTTTAATAAAACATACCTAATATGGATGTATTTCAGATCTCAACACACCGGCTGGTTTCACCTAGTTTTTGAAGTTTGGTTGAGTTTATAATGCTACTTCCTGGTTGGACAAGAGCAGCAGTTATGATAGGTAGAGGTCACCATGGCAACTACAGTGTTTTATTTTTCTCCTGATTTTTAAACAAAGCTATTTTTTTTCTTTTTTCTGACACTTAAGGATACTTTTAGAGGTATGTTAAAAACATCAATGTTGTTAAAAAGAATATACAAAATAAAAATGCATTACGAGTCAATTTTTACTTAATGCTATTTTATCTATAGTAAAAATATACTAGTTTGCATCATGTGTACACAGATACACAGGCACAGACAGACACACACACGCACACACCTACACAAAGTAAATTTGGTTGAATAAACTGCTAGTATAATGTGTTTTCATTTTTACTTCCTGTATATTTTTATGTATTTATTTATTCCTAATTTAAGTAAAAAACATCCCTCAAATCATTTCAAACCACACATGCACTAATCCTGCAACTACTGTCTGCAGCGGCTACACACTGAACTATTTACAGTAATCTAGCTAATGTGGCTCCCAGTCTTGTTATGGCGGATTTGCTCTAAGGACTTAAAGAGCGTCTCAATGTGGGGTGCTACACTTCCGCTCCTGTGGCATTGGGGTTTTATCTGGAAATCTGGGATTACACCACTGGTCAATAATACTTGGGATGCAATAGCATTTAGAAGTTAATTCCTATAACTATTACATTTAGTTTTAGTTTTGCTTTAATAATTTGTGGTTTAGCGCTCTCTGTGGTTCTCTTTGTGGTTCTCTCTGTTGTTCTCTCTGTGATGCTGGTTTATGATCCTCTCTGTGATAAAGTGTATGGAATTATTGCAAATTCCATACACTTTCATATGTATATGGAATTTGCAATAACATTTGTATTCCACTTCTATGTATCTAGGTGTATGAAATCACACAAGTACATATTTTTAACATATTCAGACTCAAAACCTATCTGTTCAGACCGTCCTACTCCACCTAACACACACGCACCTACATTCCATATTGCACTACTGTTTTATTCTGTTGGTCCTGTTTTTAATGTTTTTATTATGTCCTTGGGTGTTTTGAAAGGCGCTTTTAAATAAAATGTATTCTTATTATTATTATATTGATTCTTTGTTGTATTTGCTGATTACAAAAAGCAGACGCTCGAGGGATGCTTCTATGAGCCAACAGCCGGATCAATACTTCATGTTTTGCCTGTGTGGTATTGATGTTCCCTTTTCAGATGCATTAGTCTAATTAAAACCGTAAACTATCATCACAAAAAGTGACGCACGTCACTGCGCTTTCTGGACAAACGTAACAATTGTGATTAGAATTATAAATTATGTTTAAAAAAACAACAAAAACACCCAGAGCTTGAACCCTTTAGAGGAGAGTGAAATATATCTTTTGAAAATTGTGAAAAGAGAGAGAGAGAGAAGAGTGTGTTCACAGTTAAGTGTCAATTGAAGTATCTCGATTTTAAAAGGTTATAACTTAAAAACTAAAATTACTATCATAGATTGGAAAAAAGATTTCAAACACAGACACATCAAAGAGATAGTGTGGATAAAATCAAAAGGAAAGATTGTCAAATATATTTTTGGTGACATTTTAAACGACAAAATCAGCCTCTTTTTTGACCTGTGACGCCAGTTACATAGAAAATAAAATGTCCTCAGTCTGAAAAAGCGGTAGATGAAATCCCACAAGATTTACATGGTTAACACAACATCAGGAAATCACTTGATATGAAAAGGAATCGTTAAAAAATAATTATTTAATTAAATGACCCTTGAAAAATGTATGACGGACATGATGGTTTCCGTCCTCTTTTCTCTAAAATGTTAACTTGAGAAAGAAAAAAAATCTTGTCTGGTTTCACATTTAATTGGTTGACTAAATGAAAGTATCACTTTGTTTCTACTCTGTGTAAAAAAATAGAATCTCTGAATCAATTGTGGACATCTGAAAATACCTATCAAACTTCCGCAAAGCTAATTCCGTCAAATCATCACGTCCGTTAGATATAATATACAGGGCCGCTATAGGAAACTTGTCTAATGTATAAAACAGTTATGTTCTAGCAACTTCTAATGGACAGAGGTGGTGTTTGGAAACATGAAAAACATAAAATATCTTCTGATTATAAAAATCTAATTTTTGGCCTTTTGTCACACTTTTGTGCCCTTTAGTGTGAACAAGCCCAGAAAGAGAGAGAGAGAGAGAGAGACCCGCCCACGATCACTCCCTCTGCTTCCAGATTGGCCTAAATCAATTTAAGTCCTTGACAAACAGACTCTGACAGACAAACACAGACACCTTTGAACAACTTTTTGAATCAACTTTGTATCTTGATACTGTATTGTGAAGAACTTGTGACTCGGTGAAAGATGATATTAACTTTTACTTAATGACTTGCCAAAGACTAAATCTCCCACAAATCGTTTCATTAATTACTTAGTAAATTAACCTATTTTTGTGTGTCTACCTGTCATTTTTATGTAAATGAGAGTAACTTGGCTGCCTCTGACCCGGCAGAGGCAGCCAATATTATTATTTAATTCTCCTAATTAAATAATAAAAAACAAATAACATCATTTTGGATTTGACAGTGACGCTAACAGTTGGAGGCTGGTGAGTGTGGTGACGGAGGCGGTGAGTGTGGTGACGGAGGCGGTGAGTGTGGTGACGGAGGCGGTGAGGGACAGTCCAAAGGAGTCGGTCCAGAGTGTGTGGTGCCATGGAAACAGGTTTGGCCGAGCCGCTGGTGAAGAGTGCTCTCCTGGTGTATGAGAGGAGTTCTGTGCTCAGGAGACGGATTAGCAACGACAGGATTGCTAGAGAAATAATATATAGCCTAATTTTGATATACACTTAAAGCTGAGGTACCTAACTTTCAAACCACAAATAATGGAACTGTAATCCATCAATATAGTTACTCCATTTCAAACTCTTCAAACGGCTTCTTCCTCAGCCAATCAGCTCTCAGCCCAAAGCGACATATAGTGACTCACAGAGCTCTTTCTTATGAGTATGCAAAAGAGAGTGTGTTTTAGTTTAGTTAGTATGTCGTGTTCTGATCCTTCACAGCAAGTTACTTTGACAAAACACTATTAAAAATGTATTATTTATCAAACCCAAAAAAAGTGAGGTATTCCAGCTTTAACAGTGCACAGACCAAGCTTTCCTGATGGGGTCCACTCGATTCTCCTCAATATGATATAAAAAAATAAACAATTTATGGACGGTTTTTGGGTCAAAAACCTCAATTCTTTTGTTGTGTCGACTCTCCTCTCCAGAGATAAGACCAATAACATATTTTAGTGTAGTTGCTTGTGACGTAATGCATTTCCATTGTGGCAAACTGGCAATTTATGGCTTATACATTTCTTTTAATCTTTTCTCTTTAATATTTAAGAAGCTAGCTTAATTACGTGACATGTTTTGGTGGTAGACTTCCGCCTGCGTCAGAGGAAGCAGTACAAGATTCTTCACACTTTTGTCTTATCAAAATAATCTTAATGTTTTTACATTTAACTGGGTATTTTCTTTTTTTTCATATAAGAAACAGCATTTCCCGATCCTCAGCTCAAGTAAATAAGTCATATTTCTAGAGATGCAGGCCCACACACATCAGGCATTTTATTTTAGGTGCAAAAACACAAGGATTCAAATCTCAACGGATATAATTAGAGATACAGTAGATATTTTGTTGGATCATTGTCATCTGAAAGCACTCTTTTTAAACATCGCCCACACCTCGATAACCAGCACGATAACCAGCAGCTTCATTAATTCCAAAACTCTAAGTACAGTATAAATCACCACACAGGCTGTTACTCAGTTCCTCATGGTCAGATAGAAGACGAGACTTTCACTGTGACTTAGGGCTGCAGCTCCTAACTGCTTCTGACAGCCTTCTCCACATCGCTCCACACTCTGTACATTTGTCCTGTG